TTTTTTTTATAATTATGCTATTACTAAACCCCCATTCTGCTACCTGTCCATGAGCTGAGTGACTTGTACACCTTTATCAAAGATAGGGAGGCAAAAAGCTATTTGAAATACCGACAAGAAAAAGGAATAAATCTCCTTCTATTACAATCTAGCTCACAGAATCATAAAATCATAGACTGTCCCAAGTTGGAGGGACTCACAAGGATCATTGAGTAGAATTCCTGGCTCCACAAAGGACCAACCCAAAATCAGACCATATGTCTGAGAGGATTGTCCAAAGGCTTCTTGAACTCTGGCAGGCTCAGTGTCATGACCACTTCCCTGGAGGGTCTGCTCCAGGGCTGGGCCACCCTCTTGGTGAAGAACCTTTTCCTGATATCCAGTCTGAACCTCTCCTGTTGCAACTTCATGTTGTTCCCTCAGGTCCTATTGTTGGTCATCAGAGAGATGATTTCAGTATCTCCCCCCTTACCCTCCATGAAGAAGCTGTAGACTGCAATGAGGTCACCCCTCAGTGTCCTCTTCTCCAGGCTAAAGAAACCAAGTGACCTCAGCCACTCCTCATAAGCCTTCCCCTCCAGACCTTGCACCACCTTTGTTGCCCTCCTTTGGATATTCTTTAATAGTTTTATGTCCTTCTTTTACTGTGGCACCCAGAACTCCACACTGCTTGTGGTGAGATCACACCAGTGCAGAGTAGAGAGTCATATTCCTCGACTGGCTAGCTGTGTTGTGCTTAGTGTATGCCAGGGTGTGGTTGGCTCAATTGTTATTAACAATATGCAGTTAACAGCAACAACATGATCATTCTTATGTCAAAAAAAAAATGATAAGAAAGGTTCAAGCACAGGGAGGTATCAAATGAAAATAATCTTATTTGCTTTTGGTTGTTTTGTTTTGTTTTGTTTTGTTTTTTGTTGTTGTTTTTTCTTTTTCTTTTTGTTGTTGTTGTTGGTGGTGGTGGATGGTTTCTTTAAAACATATGTGCAGCTCTCACAGACATCAGCAAAATCAAAGTCTTAAACCTGGTGAAACAGCTGTCCTCATTCTGTTCAATGAAAGTGCCTGATTTACATGTATTTTGCTGGTCAGTTATCTCTTTTGCCCTTCTTGGAAGTGGCTTGTTATCACAGAATCATGAAGTCTCTGGATGTCTCTAGTTCAAACAAGGTTGACTATAAGATCTCAAGCAAGTGTCTCAGGGCTTTATTTAGTAATGTCTTGGAAACCTCCAAGAATGGAGGCTGTACAATCTCTCTGAGCAACCTGTTAGTTACATGTTAGTGATATGAGAACAGGTAGATCTCTATCTTAGTTTACACTGGAGGCTGTTCAGCTATCTCCACTTATTATCCAAGAACAACAGTTGCACATTACTCTGCAACCAAGGCATGGATATAACATGAAGGCAGAGTCTCAGCCCCATCCTTGAATTGCATTACAGTATAGTGTAATGGAACACAAATCCTATGCAAGGCAGATTTGCCTTGGGAAAATATCTTCTCTCCTTTTGGACTGATGAGTAATGGGATTTCAGACCATGGCTTAATTAAGGACAAAACGGATCTGAAGTAGAAAGTATAAATGTTAAATAATTTTTAAGCTGAGTCTCACCTGTGATTTGAATCTACTCTTCAGTACTTATGGTAAGAGTTTTTTACTGTTAGGCACTTATCATAAATATGAACAGTGTTCAGGATTCTTCTGTTTAGTACAACAAATTATATTTATTTTAAAGCTTATTTCAGCAGTTAGTAATGTGTGTTAAAAAATGCAAATATAATATTTATATGTTCTCTCATTTTATTTATTTGTTTATTTATTTTATCTGTTTTAAATTTCTGTAGAGAATCTATTTATTTTTTAAGAGACCTTTCCAGAGACTTGTTTAAGATTGTAGCAACTTTTGTGGTTGACTTACATGAGTTAAGTCAACCACATTCCATTACCAGAATATGACAACAATGTAAGAGTATCATGGGTAATGATTAGTAGTAAGTAATTTAATACTTCTTTGTAATTGTGAACTTAAAGATTTTTACATTCTCATACTGCCTGTACAGTCTGTATTTACAAGTTAACACAAGGGTGTGTGGAATTTCCTAAACTTTGAAGTCTTGATCAGTATATGCCTTCCAGATGTAAAACTATACAGAGATAATGAAGAAGTGTAAAAATATCAATTGGATTGTGCAGAAAATTAAAATGTGAAGTTATTGTAGCACTAACGGAGCTGTGTTTGCTAGATTGAGACATCTGTTTCTATCTAAATATTCACATTTAGGTATATAAGCAAAGAAAATAAAGATAGGGCACTGACTGTAATGTCATATTTGCTTTGGATACACTGTAAAGACAGTGGATTATATATGAGAGAGCACTTTGGGCTGAAGCCAGTCTGTATGTATAGAAACCTTTCATTTTAATTCTTAATGAGGAGATATAAGGGTAGGTGCTATTGTAAACTGTCAAATTACATATTCAAGCTTTGACTATCCTCATCAGCTAATCGGTTGCCCCCTGTCCTTGCCTGTGTCACCAAATGTATAATCTTACCCAAAGTGATAGACTTGCCAATTACTTAAGGTCAATCTTCAAATGGTTCAATTCCAGCTCTCAGGAAGGGTTTAATCTCCTGTTACAGAAAATGCCTCAAGAACCTGGCTAGTAAATTGCCACATAAGTGTAAGAACTTCAGCCACTTTTTTCATTCCCACATATGAGCAATGATGTAACATTTAAAGAATTCATTCAGTTACATTTAAAAGGAAAGATTACGACCACACGGCAGGAGGGGGTGGGATGAGAGGAAGGAACATGGGCCCCTCCTTTCTATCTCAAGCAACCAGTTACAAATGTGCAAAGGGACCACGGATTGAAAGAAAAAAAAAAAGTTCTAAATTACCACATTTTCCATTGCCAGGTTATAAGAGATTATAAGAGGTTTAAGGCAGGGATGGGTCAAGCAGCTCTCTGTCTATTCATGGCCTTTTTCATTCTTTTCTCCCCCATATTTGCAGGTAACTGCTCCACGCAGGAGTCTTCTAACCCATCTTTAATTAATATTTCATATAATCTTCTTGTAATACTGCTAATTGTTCACAAACAGGCGATTTAATCAACACTGCTAACAGGCAAAGCTTTATTCTTTCCACTGTTTTGTGCTTTGACACAGGGAGAACTTAGACAACTATGTCCCAATTGCTTTGTTTCCATGTAATTTAACAGCAAGACATTATTTTCTCATAAGAGGTGCTTTGAATTTTTACTGCTAATGAATAAATTAACTAAAAAGGTTAATCTGCCTACATGTTTATGAAACATTATGCAAATTGCTCTCAGAAAGGTTTAATGGTAATTGAAAGCAATTGAAAACCATGGTACATTTCACTCAATTTTAACTTTTTTTTTTTTTTTAAGTATACAAATTGCACTCATTTAAAATTTTACAGATGTGTAGGGCAAGATATTATTTTTTATAAATTTAAAGTAAAAGGGGTTTTCTTACAAATTTTCAGTTTAATAGATTTCCAACTTTATGGGGATTCAACTGAACTTGTGAAGGATGACTATGGTTTAATGTTTTTATTACTATAAACCAATAATATTATTTTAACCCACAGTAAACCAATTGACAAAATATTTGTCACACCAGCTTTTACAGAGAGGATTTAAGATCTACTATCCTCCCTAAAGTAATGTGGGTTCATAAGAGCTGAATCTTGCTGCTGTGATCCATACACTAAACTCAAGTTTTATGCCTAGTAACCCTTTAGCACTGAAGTAAGTAGCTCAGTTTCCATAACTCTTAGAAAAGAAAGCCCCAAATTATGCCTTTATTAATGTCCACTAATTGTCCACTTTGATTGAAAAAAAAAAAAAAAAAGGAAGTACAGGGAGGAAGTGGAGAGACAGTAAATAAATGAGGTAGAATATAGGTGGGGTAGTACCCATAGGTCCTATAAGTGTTTATAAAAGACACCCATTGTGTATAAACATTAGGTCTGTACAAAAGGATTTGTTTTCACAAAGACCAGGAAAAATAATGAGTATCAAAACTGTGACATGGAATAGCCCTAAGGCTTTGGAAAGATTTATTTGCAGGCAAGTGACTAGTATTTATTTCATCATTGTGGGAATCGCTCTTTAGGGAACATGTCAAAACTATCTGGATATTTTTTATGAACAGATGACACACATTTCTCAAATACAACAACATTACCTTGGAAATTAATGTCAATTGGCATATCAGTTAAAATCTTTTAGGCAATTATGTTTTAGCTATAAACTGGACTTTTTGTCTGCTTGTTTTTGTTTGTTGTTGTCATTGTTTGTTTTTGACATTTCTAAAAATGTAAAAAAATATTGTGAATAAATTATTTTTAAAATGTTACTAGTCTTGTCTTATTAGTTTTTCATGAATCTTTGTCTTAATCTTTTGTGACTTTGAGAACACTTCCTTTTTTGATTTCATAATTTTTCTTTAATATAAACTTTTCTTTTTAGAAGTTGGTGGATGGAAGAAGGAAACACACACACACATACACACACAAAGATGAAAAACTGTAGTTTGTTGTGAACATATTCAGTGTTACATAAAATATATTCATCTACTTAAAAATGCTTTTGAAAATTTTCAAGCAGTTCTGTTTGCAACTGTTTACTTCAGATATCTCTGCTGGATGTTCTTTGAATACCTTCCTGAGTATTCAGGACACTATCTTATACTGCTTTTGGAAAGTATACCATGTATTCTCACAGTGCATGTGATCTGTGCTGACTACTAGCAGATAGAACAGTCAGGGATTGTCTTCAGTTTAAGACCTCTCAACTTTGCAGTGGGAGTCAGTAGAGCCATTGAAGGTAGCACATTGTTGACAAGAGCAAATGGTTTCCCCATCCTTTACAAGTAGCCTTGTCCCAGCAGCTCCCTTCCTTTCCTGCATTTCAGAGCTTACTACAATGATATTGTCCTCATAAGTTTCAATGAAGGGAAGTATTGCTGAGAGACTTGAAGTATTTCCTGCCATTTAACTTCTAGAAGCTTCTACTAATTATCTTATGCACTTGAGATCTTGTCTCACTTTCTGCTAACATCTCAAATAAGTAATGAAAACTCTTATTTTCTAAAATGTTTTTATCAACAAATAACCAGGAACATAGGAGTATTTTTGTTGCTGTTTAGAGAAATCACAATGGGTAATTCCTTCCAAATTGTATTTTAACAGTTGTTGGTGTTCTTGCTCCCACTTCTCCAATGTGTTGACTCTCATAGCCATATCCCTCTGACAGTGTTTTTCTGATTTCTCTCATAAATGTTTTCATGGATATTTTATATGCTTTGCTTCTTGTACTTGAGTAGGTTTTATAAATCACTGGTGTTTCTCTGGTTCCCTCCAATTCTAGATATAAACATAAATCTCCTATCCTTTAGCTTCTGCCAGGTGCTTTTGTTCTGCTTTTATAAATTTTACTATCCTTTTATCTTGTAATTCCAAAATGAGTTTGAGCACAGAAATCTGATAACAAAAAATGGATCAAAATATTTCAAAGGAGATAGCACTACATTTAGTAATATCAATAGTAGTCGTAATATCAATGTAGTGAGGTGGGGGTTGGCCTGTTCTCCCACGTGCCTGGTGACAGAACGAGGGGGAATGGGCTAAAGTTGCGCCAGGGGAGTTTTGGGTTGGATGTTAGGAAGAACTTCTTTACCAGAAGGGTTATTAGACATTGGAATGGGCTGCCCAGGGAGGTGGTGGAGTCACCATCCCTGGAAGTCTTCAAAAGCCGTTTAGATGTAGAGCTTAGGGATATGGTTTAGTGGGGACTGTTAGTGTTAGGTTAGAGGTTGGACTCGATGATCTTGAGGTCTCTTCCAACCTAGAAATTCTGTGATTCTGTGATTCTGTAATATTCCCACTTAATTGCCTGAATTTCCTCACCTGTTGCATAAAATTTTTACAGATATAAATGAACTGTGAACAACAGATTCAGGGAACAGATCCTTATTTGTAACTTGAAGAAAAAAAAAGAAAAAAAGTAGGTTTCTCCATTTCCCACACTGTATAGAGTTGATTTGTCTGTGAATATAAGTTAGAGAAGACCTAGAGTTACTCAGAGTCCTAACAAGACCTAACATCTTGTTGTGGCAGGCACCGAGGATCGCTGGCTTACTTCCCACTTTGAAAACTGCCACACACCTTATCCAAGAAGACAGATGCAAAACCAGAGTTCCTGAGAATCAAGCTCCCAGTGAGTAAGTAAGTAAGTACCTAAAGGCTCTTTTGGGGTATGAATTACCACAGAATATTTTTTCTCATAAAATTTACAGCAGTTTCTACTTCTGTCCATGTTAGAGAAATACCATATGAAAAAGCTTTCTTTCAAGAATTCTTTTCCCAGAACTGTCTTGGAGCCAAATGCTTACAGTTCCACAAAAATTGCAAAAGCAGCTGAGTATTGCCCTCTAGCTTTTTTTTTTTTTTTTTTTTTTTTTTTTTTTTGGGGGGGGGGGGGGAGGGAGGAGGAGGGATGGGAGAAAGAGGATGGACAAAAACACAAAACAACAACAACGAAGTCTACTCTATTCTCTATTTTCTGCTTGCAGACCAGACTTCACTGAGCATAGAGGACCTTGCCACCTGGTCACCCTTTCCTCCTTTATATCTGTCTGGGGATCTAGCAGAAGAATATTCACCTGCTTCCAAACCATAAGTATGATTTGTGGTTTGTGATTTATACTTCATCTTGTTGCAGTAAGTGCAATATACTGCCCTTTGTGCTCTTGCAACAGCCAGTTGTATCATTGGTCATTTCTGTAGTGGTGTAGCCCACAGAGCAGTTGAATGTTTTAAAAGCAGTACTGCTCAGACCACAAGGATTGTTTTCCATCCCATTACAGTGTTTGGCACACTTCAGAGGCAAGAGAGGCATGTCTACTTTCCACCTGAAGACCTGGGCAGAGGACCAGACCAACCCACAGATTTCAGCTGGGGAGAAAGGTCACAGACTCAGCTAGCTTTACTCAAAACATAGAAACAAGAAGTGAACTTATGACTGTCAGATGATGATTCTTCCTGAAATGTTTCTACTCCTGATAACAAGAGATGTGGACAGCAAACAAAATCTGGTGGAGAGTTTACTTATATAATCAATCGTAAACAATCTGTACCCTGAAATACTGAATAAATATGAACTGAAATATCAGACCTTCCCTCATCTCTTCAAATCTGACTTCTTACCTCAGTCCTCAACCAGACCAGAACTTGGGTTGGGTAGGAATACTTACTTCCGGTAAGTTATTTTCAAAAAATGAAGCTCTTTCTTCTAGCAATAGTAATAGTAATAACAATAATAACAACAATATTTGTATAAGTTAAACAAAGTGATTTTTTTTTTTGTGTGTGATTTAAAAAAATGTTGAGCATCTGAATGTTTTTCTTTCCCTTAAACCTGAAAAATCTTATGCCAAGTAATACTCAGGGGAAATTTTTTACCTGGTGTTTAAATGAGAAGCCTAGCAGATTTAACACATTACTCCAGTGTTTGCCTCAATTAAATTTCATTTCTGTGGTTATTGGATGCATTTCAGACAGCCTTGACCATCAGCCTCTTTTAAATTCGCATTGCTCTCAAAATTACCCAGGACAATATTATTGCAGAATGATTTAACAGTCTCCAGATAGAGCACATTAGCAAGACAGACAAAACTTTAGATACTTAAGTATGAATGATTTATATTTTTATAGGGATTAGTGAAGTGTTTTGAATAAAATAAGAACCGGCTATGATCCAAGTTTTGTTTCCAGGTTTGAAGTTGGTCAGATAACTTTCCAGTGTTTTATTTACTTTCTCACTGTTGTTTTATTCTCTCACCAATATATATACCCCACACAAGTCTCCTGATAACTTCAGTGGAATATTGCTTAAAAAAATATGGGTTATAAACTGAGTAGAAGTAACAATGCCTTCCAAAGAGAACATCCATTAATATGTTGTGCGCATAAATTAAATATTTGTATACATTTTGCTCCTATTTGTAAATAATGGTCTCAATTCAAACACTAGTAGCAATACCAAAACAAAATAAACAAAACCAAAAACCAACCAAGAAACAAAAACCCACAAAACTTGAATACCTAAACCAGGAATTACACAGTAATACATGCTACTTGCTGTACAATACCCACTTCCCAATTTCATTTAATTCCTGAAGGTCTGAATAGTACCACACTAACCAGACAATTCTTTCATCCAGGCATGTCTGGGCTCTAGGGAACAGGCAGAATGACACCCAAATCCCTTAATTGTATGCATAAACACAGGTCACAACTCTCTTACTGAATTTGGAGCAAACCAGTGTCTCACAGCTATTGCCAATGAATGTATGGCTGCTAGTGGCAGTGCCTGACTTTCATGTAGCAGTCATGTAGCATATACCCACAGGCCTCTCAGTGAAGTGGTAAATTATTTTCCTCTCTGAGACCCCTCAGGATAGTTATCTCCAGCCTTCCAGAAGAAGCTTGGGATATAGAATAAGTTCTGGTTTAGGTATCTAAGGGATCTGAGTTTTCATTTCTGCTCTAAGACCTAAGCACAAAAATAGATTAACTATTGTAGCGTTAAACATAATGGTAAACTTTTCCTTCATTCAGACCCAAGAGACAAACTGCTTGGACTGCATAGTTTTCAAAGTTTGATCTACAGAACTGTAGGAATTAATTGATTGGATTGAATGGATCCCGTATTCTTAGAAAAGCTTTTGATCTTGCCTGTGTCATTCAAGCCCTGAAAATGGAGCAAGCTTCTCTTCTACTCCATCCCTGTAGCTGTTATTCTAGATAGACCTAATGATATGGTCTGTAACATTAAAAAAAAAAAAAAAAAAGAAAAAAAAAAAAAAAGAAAGAAAGAAACCAACCAAGCCTGGCATAGAGGTGTAACTCTTTGGAACATATTTTAAAGATAAATATTGAATGAAATTTAACACTAGGATAAAGTAGGCACCTTCTAAAATCTGATGTGTAAGTAAGTATTTCACAGTCAAAACCAATACAAGTAAATGAGGCTAGCAGCTGTGTACATGTGTGATCATGTAAAAGCAAATCAAATGCAGACTGGCATGTTATACCACAGTAAATTATTTCTGTTATTGATTTCAGTGAAGGTTTTGTCTATTGACCTATATACACTGTGTTCAATTTAGTCCATAGAGATTAACAGCCATATAGGTTGATGTTGAATCAAGAGATCATATTACAAATGAACATCGAAGAATGATTTGCATTTCTGAACACTTAAACATTCAGCAACACATTATCAGTCTATTAAAAACAATATGGAGTCAAAGAAAATAAATTGGGAACTTCAGATTTCTGTTTTCCAGGACATCAGAATCCTGGAACACTGTCCTTCCCTGCTGAACTGCTCTTAACATGAATAAGCTTTAATTAATTAATGTATTTATTCAGTTATCATCCTTGATATTTAGTACAAAGGTAAGTAAAGGAAAAACAGAAGAATCCATCAAGTTGCAGGTGAAATTTTTCAGAGATAAAGTTACATTCTGATCCTGATTTCTCTTGCACGCTGCAGTGAAGTTGATAGGCATGACTTACTCCAGACTTTTGCTTAAATGCAAGCGTAAAACTGACCTAAGCAAGGTAGCACTTGAAAGGATGTTCCTTGCTATTTGTGGTGCATTCCTTTCCTCTTCAGCATCTCCCTAATGTCTTTTACCTTGTATTTTGGATATCACACCCTTAGAGCAGAAGCCTTCACACATAGAAAGTTGATACAATAAAGAAATTAATAGTAATCTTAAATGCACTCTTCAAAAGAAATTCATTTCCTTTAACACATTTTACAGTGCTGTTCTTGTAATTGTAGAGTTTCAAAATAATTGTTCCAAGAGGAAAACTTAAATTATATTTGGAATAGCCATTCCAAAAGCCACTCAACAGTGTTATCTTCACTCTAGTGATGGTTATGCAAGTATTAGTCTTGTATGAAAGTTAATTCTCCTTCAGTTTGAATATCTTAGCTTCTTCTACATTGCCCACTTGCATGAGTAGATTAGCATTTAAATAAAGGTATATAATATACAGGAAAGCAAGAAGAAACAGAAGGAAGAGGAAAAACATTAGGACTGCACAGCAATGCAACAACACCATATTCTAGTCTGCTTTACATTATAAGAGTACTCTGCTGAACTGTCAATAGTTTTCTCTCTGGGTCTGGAGCTTAACTGGCTTCTGGCTAATCTGGAATGAATATAAATCATTTTTAATAAAATATGTGCAAAAGATAGAGTGGAAAACAACAAAAATGATGAGATTTTCTTGGTCACAAAATAGTAATTTATTTGATTTCTGTGGAATTCTAAACACAGCAATTCCATTCTCATTGTAGGATGTTGCCCTGCAGCATGTATTAGAGCTGTCACTCTGCTGTTTCACTTCTAGTGCATTACATATGTGTACAATATAGTTCTGCTCCCTGAGGTTACATTTTCCTCATTGTACAACCAACCCCCCAAGGGCTAACACACACTGTTGAAGAAGTATTATTTTGTCAATTTTGCTGCACAGAATTCTATCCAGCTATGTGATGAAAATCCTGGTTTCCTGTCCTACTTGTGCATGTGTTTTCTCTCTGAAACAGATTATTTTAATATTTTTCAGTTTAAAAGGTTATTCCAAAGAAAGAACATGAAAACTTCAGCTCTGAACAATGTTATCAAGCTGAATGGGAAGAAAAAAAAAAAAAAAAAAGGTAGGAGGAAACAAAGATCAGTTGATTTTTTTTCTAATCTACAGTGGGCATTGTCTGCATGATTGAGTGCTGCAGTCAGCACTAGGAATGCTGACATCCAGATTCCTTATGTGGATGAGTTCAGTTCAGGTGCACAAATGTATCAGTTAAGAAGTATTTGACACAGCTGAAAACACTAAGATTAAGCTTATGGACATCATGCCAAATTGATCTGAAAGGTTAGCTTGTGTTACATCACCAAGAGTAAGTAACAAAGAAAGTAAAAGGAACATGATGGAAGGCATCCATCTGTAAGGTGAAGGACATCGGCCGTCTCATATGTTCAACTGCAGTACAAGATAGAGGAAATGGTACAAGTCCAACATAAAGTGCCATAAGATTTTCAGTATTTATGTAGAGTATCTGTAATTCCATTAACAAATTGACATGTAAGCTTTCCTATCAACCACAAGTTTGTTTAAAAAAAAAAAAAAAAGTGTCTGGATCAGAAGAAAGAGGGACTGAATTATATATTCATTTATTTCCGACTTTAGAGTAGAGTGCAAGTATCCTGAACTGAGGCTGTGTTTTTTTTCCCCTCTTTTTGTCCAGTTAAACTAACCTTTAAATAAAGAATCCTAAAATGATGTGTTGTATTGTGTATTGCATAGTAGACATTACTATGGGATTTTTTTCTTTTGAAAACCAGTTAAGTACGAAATAATTAAGTTCAGGGATAACAGTCATTTTGGTCAGTGTTGCTTCCTGTGGTTTCCACAAGGTTTAGGAAAAAAAAAGAAAAAAAAAAGGAGATTGGAGAGAGTGTGTAGTGTATGATTGCCTCATACACACTCCTTAACTTTCTTTTACAGTAATGTAACAGAATCCTGGAATAATAGAAATGGTTTGGGTTGGAAAGGACCATACAGATCTTCTAATTCCAATCCCTCTTCCATGGGCAGGGACCAGTTCCACTAGACAAGATTTCCCAAGACCCCATCCAACCTGGTCTTCAACAGTTCCAGGGATGGAACATCCACAGTAATACTCTGGGAAAACTCTTCCAATGCCTCACCACCGTCATAGTCAAGAATTGCTTCCTTAAATCTAATCTAAATCTACCCTCTTTCAGTTCAAAGCTGTTACACCTTGTCCTATCACTCATGCCATTGTAAAATGTCCCTCTCTAGATTTCTTTTATCCCCCCTTTAAGTACTGGAAGGCTGATATGAGGTGTCCCTGGAGCCTTCTCCAGGCTGGACTACCCCAACTCCCTCACCTTGTCTTCATAGGAGAGGCGCTCCAGCCCTCTGATCATTCTTGTGGTCCTCCTCTGGACTTGCTCCAATAGGCCCATTTCCCTCTTGTTCTGGGGACGCCAGAGATGAACAGAGATGAACAGGTGGGGTCTCAGGAGAGCAGAGTAGATGGGGAGAATCACCTTCCTCGATCTGCT